CACTTCCCTGGAAATAAATACATGGATATGAATTTGGGGTAAAGAGAGACGAGAACTTCATGGTCCTTCAGTGCTTTTCATATTCAAAGCACCCCAAAGTGCTTTCTGGTAATTAAGGCTGAATAGCTGTCAGGAGACAAGGAGGTCCCTTGTAGTCACTCTCCCAAGTGCCCACCATTTTTGCCTACAAATGAGTGAGTAAGGGAATAGTTGGGTGAAGGAGTGACACAAATTTTGATTAGAGATTTTAGGGGTTAATCCAATAAAGCGCAGCAGTCCCAGGGCAGGATTTGGATGAGGAGGTGTCCAGAACCAGAACATCTCTATTCAGCTGTGACATGGTTGAGGGCCCCGTTGCTGAACTTATCTCTGTGTGACTTTAAATCTCCCCAGCTCTGTCGTGTTTTGGGCCGGTTGAGATGCTCAAGGGTATGTGGAGATGACAAGGGACCTCAGGAGAGCTGTGCCTGTTTGAAGCAGCAGCGGGATGGAGTGGGATGTCCTCAGACATCCCTAATAGCACTGACCACTGTATTTGGTCCCTGCACCCCTAAGCTGAGTTTCACAGCATCTACAGCCTTATCTCCCCAAATGGCTCAAGGTGTAGCCAGTCCTACACCTCATCGGAGCACCCTACACCTGGTAGGACCAGCCCAAGGAGATAAGTCTTCTGTTGCCGCAGTTGCCTCCTTTTTTTCTGCTCCCTGTAAGCACATGGGGAGTACCACTTTTCCAAAATCTAGTTCATTCCCTGGTTTAGCTGCATCCTCACCACCCAGCTTTGGAGAAAAGGATGGGAACATTTTATGTGAGCATTATAGTATTGTGCCCAGCCGTGTTTTCCCAATACCATTGGATATCGTATCGCTGTGACACCTAGCCTCCTCACACAGTAAAGCCTGCGTGAAGCGCAGCATTTTCCGTAGGCTTCCTGAGATGTGCTGCTGGGGTCACAGCTTTGCCCGGCAGCTCTGGGGAACAAGTAGCTCTAGCAAAGTGCTTGGATAGCGAGAGGTAAACGAGGCACAGGAGAAGCATGTGCACCCTGTCCCTGTGCTGCCAGGGTATCGCCTTCCTCTTATCCCGCACAATAAATCATGGCTGAGCAGCACAAGCTGTTCCTGTCATTGAAACACGGAAAGAAACGCTCCTCTTGGCACTGGGGAAGTGATAATGACCCTGAATTAGAGCTCTACGTCTCCAGCACCTGATTGTCCTGCTCCTGCGGGTGCAGCCTGATGTTTCTCCTCCTGGCTGTTGCAGGAACTGGTCCAGGTCTTGCTCATGTGGAGGAAGGATTTAAAGGAGCCATGTCTGGCCTGGCTTTTGGAGCAGCTTGTGACAAGAGGTTTCAAGCACCCGATGGTTACGGCTGTCCCGTGGAGATCAGGGGCAGTTGCACAGCTGCAGGGATAGCCCGTCACCGCTGTCACGTCAGGGGATGACCGTGGCATTTTGGGTTGTGCCACGGCACATGTAGCCTCATTAAACCTCTAACACAGTCCTGGGAGTGCTTTTGGCCCAGGGAGCAGCAACGTCCCCGACAGTTCCCAGCTCTGCTCAGCTGGGGCCAGGGACGGAGGCTGATGAGAGTTGGGGATCCCGGTGACACCCCCAAATACCCCCATGGCCTGTGCACCGAGCACCCAGGTGACCCCTGGAGCTCAGGCACCAGGCACTGCAAAACCACCAGGCACTGTAATACTTCACTGCCTGGGAGCGGTTTGAGGGGCTGCCTTTAAACATCTCGTTTCCCAAAGCCTTTGATCTGTGCCTTTTTAATTCCTTCTGAAGCTTCACGAGCAATGTTTGAATGCAGTCAGGCCAAGATGTCAGATGCCAGCACGCTCCTCTCACTTGGCTCCTAAGTGACTTTTAAGGGACATGACTCCATCACCGAGCCCAGATCTAGGCTCTTACAGGAGAAGTTAAATATTTGAACTTGGTATTGCGGCCGAAATCGCGCATGCTGTCTTAAAAGGAGCAAGAACCATTCAGTAATATTAAAGGGCAGGAAAGCTGAGATTCGGGGGGGTTTAACTTGTCAGAAGAGGAGAATTGCCAAACTACCAAGCACCCAGGAGACACTGCCAAGTGAAGTCCAATAAAGCAGAGAGCTAAAAATACAGCTGGGACCACACTCCTTCACACGCCTTAGAGAAAGCGCCGCTGGTTTCGTTTTCGTTTGCGCTCGCCGTAATAAGGAAGATTTATCTGTTTGCAAATAGGACCTGTGGGTAAGGGCAGGAAAAAGCAGCTCCTGTGTGTCATTGCTTATCTGTGTGTCTGTAAGCAAGTATGAAGGACAGAGTGCGAGGTTGCAGACGTGCCATTTTATCATTCTTGACCCAGAAAACTTCTTTAGGGGTCGGTGATAACCGTAGCAGATATTCCTTCGGTTTGCCAGTGCCCTCTAGTGGCTTTGGGAGAGAAGAAATGTGCATTCCCATAAAGTAGAGGATTTTGCAAAAATATTGCTATGTTCTAAGTGTGTGTGGGCTTTAGGAGAGATGGGACATAAGTAGTTGAAAATGGAAAAAGAGCTAAATCAAAACCCTTCGTTTGTAAATGCTCATCTCATGCACAGCAAAAGGGGAAAGGGAAAGTGGTGGGATTCCTCGTGTATTCCTAGAAGATGGTTTTGTAGTCCATCAAAAGACAAATCTTGCTTTATTGTGCACGTACATCTCCCTCTCTTCCTCCTTCCCTCCCTTTACCGACCCTGTTGTGTGTCTAATAGGAATATGGCTTTTATTTGGAAATCTTATGCGCAGTGTGTAGGCTTGCCCAGCTGGCTGGAGTACGGGCCCCTGCGCAGGGGATTGTTTTACACTGAATTTATTGCTTCCTCGCTAGAAAAGCACCCTCCAGAAATGCCTTTTTCTATGCACTTAGTCTTAGAAAATGAAAATAGAATCCTCTTGCACAGAGTGAATTTAAGAATAAGTTAGGTAGATCCTGCTTTCTGTGGGTTGAGTTTGCCAATACACTTGAGGCGGATGCCCTCTGTACAAGCAGCGCTGTACTGAAGCTGTTTGTTTAGGAACATAAAGAGAAACCACTTCTGCAAGTGAAACTTCCACAGGCTGCTGTTAGCACAGCACAGCACAGCACAGCACAGCACAGCACAGCATAGAATGGAATAGAATAGGATAGAATGGAATAGAATAATTTCAGTTGGAAGGGACCCACAATGATCATCTAGTCCAACAGCCTGACCAAGTTCAAGCATGTTACTAAGGGCGTTGTCCAAATGCCTGTTAAACCCCTGACAGGCTTGGGGCACCGACCACCTCTCTAGGAAGCCTGTTCCAGTGCTCGACCACCCACTCAGTAAAGAAAGGCTTCCTAATGTCCAGTCTAAACCTCCCCTGGCACAGCTTTGAACCATTCCCACGTGTCCTATCACTGGGTGCCAGGGAGAAGAGCTCAGCACCTTCCTCTTCGCATCCCCTCCTCAGGAAGCTGTAGAGAGCCATGAGGTCACCCCTCAGCCTTCTCTTCTCCAAACGAGACAAGCCCAAAGTCCCCAGCCACTCCTCACAGGACATTCCTGCCAGCCCTTTCACCAGCTTTGTTGCCCTCCTCTGGATGCATTCAAGGACCTTCACATCCTTCTTAAATTGTGGGGCCCAGAACTGCACGCAGTACTCCAGGTGAGCCCGCACCAACGCTGAATACAGTGGGATAATCCCCTCATTTGACCGGCTGGTTATGCTGTGGTTGGTGCACCCCATAACACGATTTGCCTTCTGGGCTGCCTGGACACTGCTGGCTCACCCGAGCCTGCCCAGGTCCCTTCCTGCAGGGCTGCTCTCCAGCCGCTCCTCTCCCAGTTTATACTTGTGCCGGGCAGTGTCACACCATTGCTCTGATCCCTGAGGAACCCCTCAGTGAGAAAAGCCCACCATGGTTATTTTCTGCAGGGTGGGGTTGGTGCCAAAATAACAGCCCTGAAGAGCCGTGCCCGCTGCCCGCAGCCCAGCCCCGAGATAAGGACATTGGCTTCTATCGCCTGTGGCATTTGCTGGATCCTCCTTCCTTGCTGACCAGGTCTGAGCCAGTGCCTACGGCCAGGCAGACACGATGACAGGTCACTGGTTCAAGTCACTGATACTTTATTATACTCTTAGCCAAACTTTGCTATTAATAGCTCAAAGAGGTGTAGAAGGGATGAGAGTAGGGTTAATGCCCAGAGATACTTCCTTCTAGCTCTTCTTGTGTTCATGCACTGGTCAATCCTTCTCTAGAAACCCCCGTTATCCCTTGTAGTCTGGAAAACAAAAAAGAGGTGAATTCGGTAGAAAGCCAGAATAATGCATGTCTCCATCCCAGGTAAGTGCTCTGAAGAAGGTCTTGTTCCCAGCTGGGCCAGGGGACTGCTCTAACAACCTGTTCCCACCCAGAAAGATTTAGGGACCGCAGTAGCCTCCCTCTTCCTTGCAGTGATTTAAAAAACCTCTCCCCACCTTTCTTTCCAACAGGCCCCACAGTTTACAGCTGCATTTCCACAAATCCATCCCCTGTGCCTGGGAAACAGCTGCTCCTTGTGCCAGACATTATTTCTGGGAGCAATGCACTCATTGCTTGTTCCCAAATGTCAAGCTAAAAGCGCATAGTGCGGCACCGCAGGACTCGCACTTGTGGAGATGCTTTGTGTTTGCTGCATTTCCCATTCACCGGCCAGCTGACTCCTTCAGCAGTTTCCTGCAGTGAGGTTTTGTCTGGGTGAACGGTGATGATCATTTTTGGACATATACCCCAGCTCTTGCCTGGCTTGAATTTTGTCCATGGTCCTCAGCAGAGCATTTCAGCTCTAAGGCAGCAGCTCCTTCCTTACAATTGTTTGACTACACCAAAAGTAGCACAAAATATCCCGATTTTAGGCCTCCCCAGATCTCTCAGTTCAACTCCTAATGGGTTAACAAATGAAAGACTCCATTTCCTCTGGCAGTCCCTTGCCTTCATGGGATATGCATCGCAGGCACCAAGCAACTTACGCTGTAGATCCAGTCCACGTAGGCTGACACACGTGTGAAGACTGTTGGCTTCTTGTAGGTGTTACAGTAAGGAACTAGCCCAAAACTGACAATCCCGTGGACTTGCCAGCGATCGTCTTTGTAGCAGTTGAGAGGGCCCCCAGAGTCCCCCTGGAGCAGAGGAAGGAGAGGACCATATTAAGCCAAATTATCCGAGCAATTGAGGAATGACTGGAGCACTAGTTAGTTAATCACTGATCTGAACATGAAAATAAAAATTTGTGCTTTCTTTGCAAAGGGCTGACTGCTCCCCAGCAGCACCACTCAGCGTCTTCCAAGATGTTGCAGATATCAGATGCACTATTTATTATCTCAGTCTGCACGCACATGCACACACATATATACACCTACATGGCCCAGGAAGGGCTGAAACACTGAATTCCCACCACCATTGCAAATATAGTGACTGTAAGCAAATGGTCTAGGGCATGTTGGATCACACGCAATCCTTCCCAGCCAGGTCCACCTGCACGGCATCTCTGTTAAAAAATCACTGCACGCTCCAGCTGCAAGGAACCAGGTAGAAGGGAAATGCTGGTTCCCCTGTTCTTCACAAATGAGTATATTCAAGGGGTCTTGGGAAGTTAAGATGGTGAAAAAGAAAGCAACTCAAGTTAAAATGTATGAGAAGATAAAGGCTCTTTCTTGGTCAGAACCTGGTTTGTAAGAAGGTTCTCCAATAATTAAATCATACCAAAAAAACACAGTAAATATCTATAGACCTATAATTATACTATACCTGTAATTGTACTATGTATAATTGTATAACCTGTTTTATTTCTATGTGTTTCTGTATTATATTCATACATTTACATAATCAAATACATTACGTATTTCTCCATTAACTTTTAAGGGCTCTGCATGGTTGCTTTCACCAGAAGCCACCTCTGTCGTGAGCAAATACAGGCAAAGGTAACGAGTACCCCCTGCCTTCACACACCAAACCTCTGTGCCTGGATGCTGGGTCCACCTGGAGCCCCTGGGATAAAGGGGACCTCACAGCATCTTCCTTTTCCACCCAGAGGTGCTCCAGCCACAAAGCTGATCCAAGGGCTGGAGCACCTCTCCTGTGAAGACAGGCTGAGAGAGTTGGGGTTGTTCAGCCTGGAGAAGAGAAGGCTCCAGGCAGACCTTATAGCACCTTCCAGTACCTAAAGGGGCCTACAGGAAAGCTGGAGAGGGACTGTTTGTCAGGGCATGGAGTGACAGGACAAGGGGGAATGGGTTTAAGCTGAAGGAGGGGAGATTTGGATTAGATGTTAGGAAAAAATTCTTCCCTGTGAGGGTGGTGAGGCACTGGAAGAGGTTGCCCAGAGAAGCTGTGGCTGCCCCATCCCTGGAAGTGTTCAAGGCCAGGCTGGATGGGGCTTTGGGCAACCTGGGCTAGTGGAGGGTGTCCCTGCCCATGGCAGGGGGTTGGAACTAGATGGCCTTTGAGGTCCCTTCCAACCCAATCCATTCTGTGATTCTACGATTCTATGATTCTAACCTGGGCCAGATGGTGCAACTTGGACATAGCCAAAGCTTGCAGCAACCTCAGCTGTCCATGTAAGCAGAGCAGCTGGGAAGGAGAAGGGTGACAAGCAGGGCAACATCATGGGGGAGCACTGCCTAGTCCAAGGTGCAACATGACCTCAACATTGGAGGAGTGGTATGACTTCCCCGCAGCTTCATCCTTTGGACGAGGGCAGAGGGGGCTGACAAAGTCTCAGCCCATTCCCCAGGATCTGCTTGAAGAAAAGGCAAATCTCCCCTCCAAAATCAGAGGGGAGAGATGCGCCCTGAGGATTTGGAGGTTTTTGTCTCTGCTGGTTGCTCTGTGGGGAGATGGAGGAATGTGGTTTAGAGGATTTTCAGCAGAAAACAGTGAAGGAGCCAGGATTTGCAGGAAAGCTATTGCAGGTGGAGAAATGGAAAAAACAGGTCCCAGTAGAAGGAACAGCCAAGTCAGATATGAAGGAAAAAGAAAGAGGGGAGCTTGAAAATCCTCTGATAATAACAGATCTTACACTGCATCCAGACCTCACGCCGTCTCCACCTGCACATATCATAGTGGTTTTTGCTTGAGATCCCCACCAGTCATTCTGGGAGCAGATCTCATGGTCGACCACCGGCAGCATCACCTCCTGCAGTGTGTCTGGGTTGTTGCCATCCACTAGCAGAGAAAGGGTGAGATTTTGGTCCAGGAGCTCCAGCAGTTGAGGAAAGAAGCCCGCATCCTGCCGTGGGCAGCTTTACCTGCACAGTGGTCCCTCTGAAACCAGGAGGGACCCTCAAATTTCCTCCTTTCCCCTTACTTACCACTAACCACCCCCCATCCGGTAATATAGCAGGGATAATTATTGGGCAAAATTTCTCCTTCAGGTGGAAGCACTCCCAGCTCAATGAACCCATTGTCATAGGCAAGAGAGTCGAGGCGCAGCAGGGCAATGTCATAGCTGAAACGGGATACAGGTAAAAGACTCTTTACTGAAAATCCTGAATTAGTCATAAACCAGACGTCCTCACTCACATTTCATCGCTCATGCAGGTCTCTAGACTCTCGTAGCCAAGCACCTTGCAAACATCATGAATTCATCCTTACAGCTATCACAGGTGACAAGAAAATATGAGCAATTAAGAGAGAAGAGGCCATAGTACAGACCGATAAAGGACCAACTTGTCCCAGAAAGCTCCTACTCCTTTGGAGATGCCCAACCTCAGAGTGAATTTCAGTGGACCCTGGGTGGACAGGCATGCCTCTGAGAGGGGATTTAAGACAGTCCCTCAGCATTTCCCTGTTGGCTTCCCTCATCAGGTCCAAACAGTGGTGTGACTGCTGGCAAGCCCCTGAATCTGCCGTACATCCTGCGTCCCTCTGTGAGGGACTAGATTTCCCCAATCTTTGGCAAAAAAGGACTGAGGTTATGCACATAGACATCCTGTAACACCTCTAAAAGAGGAGGTCATTTGGGAAATCTCCATTGCATCATCTTCCAGTGCTTCCCACAAATCCAACCTCACTGAGAACTGGACTGAATATACACCTAAACGCTTCGTGGGTGCTAAGTACCATTCAACCATTTGACGATATTCAAAATAATTACCCATTGGCAATGTTATTGGGATTCCAGTCATTATGAATGAAGACTCTTTCCACATCAATATAGTACTCGGTGCCGTCCACCTTCAAGAGATTGTGCTCACCCAGAGCCACTCGGTAGGAAGCTCCTTCTAACCTGAAAGCGAATCAGAGAATAATTAATGTAAAAATTACTCTGCACCGCCAGTTTTGCACCGTAATTCCTGCACCACTGAGACCTTCCACCAATGTAATCAGTCCTAAAGCACCTTCCACTGGAGGATTTTCAATGGACTGCAGCTAAACAGTCTTATGAATCAGGCAAATGCTGCCTGCAGTTTGCTGGCGAAGCAAGCGAACGTGCAGCATCAGCTTATACAGTGCTGAGCTCGGTCTTGAACGAGAACGTTCATTCTGCATCTCTGCATCTATCCGAAACAGAATGTGAAGGATCAGCTTGTTACCCTTTATTGTAAGTACATTCACTAAAGGCGCGAGTAATTAAAGAGGAGTGTTCGCTTATTGGTGTCACGCCGTATCGTTTAGGCGGTGCATGTTAGACGTGCTGCAGAGCAAATCGTACAACGTGGCCCGTGAGCTACAAAACATGCCTTTCGTTCAATCTTTCCATCTCTGTGCAGGTTTTTCAGGATGCAAACCCATTCAAAATGCTCACATTCATGCAAATGCACCTCCTCTGATGCAAATCAGCAATCAGCTTGATTTCCACTCCCAGGAAGTCAGCAATTAATGCACAAAATCAAGGCTAAAGCAAACAGTTTTCCAGTTCTCTTGATTAAGTGCACAGAGAGACGTCCAGCTGTGTGAGGAACGGCATCAGTGGGGAGCTCAGAGGGTGAGAAGGGTCTGGCTCCTGTCTACAGCAAGAACGGGGACAAGAACGAGAGTTTTAATGCTTTTTATCCTACTCACGTGCTGAGGCAATGGGCTGCAGTCATGACCCATTTGGGGCTGATAAGCGTTCCACCGCAGATGTGAGAGTAGTATCCTGGGTAGTCATCATAGGCAATCTGAAGCGATACCTGGATCAAACAACAACATATTTTACACCCGAGCCATGCTGTGCCTCTGCAGAAAGGGTGTGCGTGGCTTTGGCCAGTGGAAGCTCTTGTTTTCTCCCTGTTTTTTTCAAGTATAAGACACCAGCATTACCTGCCACTTCCAGCTGTTTGGTTGGGCCTCGTGGCCTCCAATTACTCGCCCCGTCAGCACATCCTTCTGAAGAGCGCCAATTAGGGGACTTCCAGAGATTGCCCCTAACCACACAAAAAGAGGAGTGAAGCTTGTCATGTGGATTCCTAAAGAGCGTCAGTCATCGCGGGTTACTGCCAGCGACAAACCGGGGCTGCGCAGCGCAGCCAGCGAAGCAAATTGACACTTGCACATGGTGACACTGTGATCGCTCTCCATCCTGAAGGCTGTCTTTAAAGCCCCCGTGGTTGAAAAATAAACAGGCTTCAAGATGCAAGGCTGTCATATAAATTGACTTCTGTTTCCCATAGTCCCTACAACCCCACCAGAACTGCCAGGTCGGTTGTGCACCGACCTAAATCCCCTTTCTTTTGGGGTGTAGGTTTCCCCTCCCCTCCCTCAGACCACCACCAGATCTTTCTCATGGAGATCTTGTTCACTCATTAGAGAAAACCCCTTCCAGCCAGAATAATTGTGTCCACATAAGTTTTGCCCTAGCACAGAGAAAAAATTGATCTGCTGTAATCTGCACCTCTTAGTCAGAGGTTGAGAAGTTTACCCTTTCCCAGCGCAAACACTTCAATTCCAACTTACCCAGGCAACTAAGAAGAACCAGATACTGAAGCATCTTTAATGAAGTGACAGCATTTTACCAAGAGAAATTCTTTTTATACTAAAATATCTGATAAGAAGCTGTATCTAAATTTGTGATTACTACAATTTATCTATACTCATAACTCATTAAACTGACCAGAAATGTTCTCTAGGTGGAAAAAAAAGGGAGAGCAGCTACCTGTTCAAGGTAGAGCCCAAGGTTACACAAAGACCTCCACACTGCATAGTTCCCACAGGGCCATGAAGCAGAAAAACACTTGATAAATTTGGAGAGAGCTCAGATCAAGTCAAACCCAAAACAATACAGACCCAAGCTCAACAAGCCAACACTCTGGACTAATAATTATTGATGCACATGTTGTATTCCCGTGTTAGAAATTTATCTGTCAGTCCAGCTGTCTGCTATTCCATGTAACATGAACTGATCCTTGTCAACTAGATAATAAGAGCAATAGTAAACAGGGAGAAGTGCAATCACTGAGGGTGGTTCAACCTTGGCTGAACATATTACACTGACCTTGGCTGGACATGCTGATCCTTTTTTAGGATCTTTTTCTGCTCTCTCCTCCCTGCCGAAAGAGTTTTCCTCTGCCTGCCCCAAAACACCGGCTCTGAAAGAAAGGAGGGGAGGTAGGGAGCTGGGCTATGGCCCACAGGGAAAAAAGGGAATGGTGCAGCTGGCAAGTACAGGTGCTGTCTCTGAGGAAGGAAAAAGGTCCCAGAACCACAGAATGGTTCAGGTTGGAGGGGACCTCTGGAGCTCATCTGCGCAAGCAGGTTCACCCAGAGCTGGTTTTCCAGGACTGTGTCCAGACGGCTTTTGAGTATCTCCACAAGAATGGAGACTCCACAACCTCCCTGGCAAACCTGTGCCAGTGCTTGGTCACTCTCACAGTAGAAAAGTGTTTCCAGATGTTCAGAGGGAACCTCCTGTGATTGGGTTTGTGCCCATGGCCTCTGGTCCTGCTACTGGCCACCTCTGAAAAGAGCCTGGCTCTGCCTTTTTCACACCCTCCCTTCAGGTGTTTACACACATTGATGAGATCCCTTCAAGCCTTCTCTTCTCCAGGCTGAACAGTCCCAGCTGTCTGTCTTTCCTCATGGAAGAGGTGCTCCAGTCCCTTCATTGTATTTGTGGCCCTTTGCTGGATTATCTCCGGTACGTCCATGTGTCTCTTGTGCTGGGGAGCCCAGAACTGGACACAGGACGCCAGGTGTGACCCCACCAGTGCTGAGCAGAGGAAGGATCACCTCCCTCGACCTGCTGACAACGCTTTGCCTTATGCAGCCCATTCACCTTCTCTGCCACAGGGGCACACTGCTGGCTCATGTTCAACTTGGTGTCCACCACGATCCCCAGATCCTCTTCTGCCACATTACTTTCCAGCAGCTTGGGACAGGCAGTAGGTAGGGCAGGCGCCAGGCAATATTGCCAAGACCTGCATCCCATCTTTGACAGCAGCCTACATGTAGCACTTCAGAAGAAAATGTAGAAGCCTTTGAAATGGATGATCTTGTTCTAGGGGGAGGTATGTTTTGCTTTTTTATATCCCCATTAATTGCAGTCCCCTGATCATTTTATACTTGTGGAGCATGATTTATATCAGTTTAATGATTTAAAGCATCTATTAGGATCATAGCAGATGCACAGGTTCTTCAGTTAAATGTAAAATGCAGCCCTGCTTTATGCATCTAGTGAGGAAGAAAACAAGAAATGCCTGTAGCTGGTGGAAACCCAGAGACTTGTTTCCACAATCAGAGGAAATCCCGTTGGGACACACAGGCCATCAACAGGTGGGCACTAAAGCTCACCTTGAACTTCAACTGCATCCAGAGACCAGCTGTCAAGTAAAAAAGGAAGAGCTAAGGAAACGAATTGGAGAAGACAGGAGTATGCTAATGGGATCCACTGTCCATGGAATGGATACGGTAGGACCAGGACCTTTTCCATATCATCCCAACAGTCCTCTTTAACAAATCTTTTCTATTTTATTGGAAGCCATAAAAAGTTCAGTGTGATATTTCAGAAAGCACTGAGGCTGTCTTTAAGTCATTGAACACTTTTTCCTCCTTACATCACAGATCATTTTTATCTTCCAGGTAGTTTCGGCTAGGAGGTCAGAAAGTGGCCAAGCAGTCTCTTCACTCACTTTCACTACATTCATCATCCCCGTTAGACCTGGCAAACTCACTCATTTTCTATTGCTAGTTTATTTTTCCAAAGACTTTATGTGTTCCCTACACACAATTTTGTTGAAAACATTGTTGTCTGTTTATTCTCCTTTTGGACATCATGCCATTTAGCTTGAGTAATTGTTTGTCCATAATCTGTACTCTACAGCAATGTGCATGGTATCATACTCATTTTGCAGCTGAGTGGCTTTGATATTGGGCTGTGTTGTAATGCCCAAAGGAGAAATAAATTACACCGAGGATGATGAATTACAGCTGTTTTCAGAATTCCTCCACTTCAGATTTTTTTTTAAGCATAGAGCTCTTCAGGGACTGTCTGTGTTTTGCTCTGGACTCTGCATATATGGTCTGCAGAAGAGGTGAACCTTCAGGACATATGGAGAGAGCGAAGTTGGAGTGTTGGGGCTGGGAAGCTGTTCCATGTACAACCACTTGGCAGGGTGAAAAAACCTTGAACTTAGGAGTTAGGACTTTAACTGTAAGGGAAGGAAATGAAAAAACATGGAGACTGGCAGTAATGGAAATGAGAAGAATGATTAGTTTTTGCTAACACAGTCTTACCATGGAGCTCCAATTGTGAAGCTTGGCTTGAGATGCCAACGCCTAAGGCTGCCATCCGAAACACAATATCTCACCTACTGCTAAATCTCAGAGGCCCATAACCCTCCAGGAGCTATGAAATTTGCTTCAGAACATGAACGGTCCTGGAGTCAGAGTCCAGGACTCTTCCTTTCTGAGGAACCATCTCAAGCCAGAGCCATCTCAGGGTTTCTGTCTGACAAGTGTAGGCACAAATGAATTTCTGTGCTCCGAGTCTTTACCAGTAAACAAAATGGGGCATTTTTCACACCACAAAGCCAATCCAGATGGCCCTGTTTATGTCATTATGGCAAAACTCTTCTATACTCTAAACCAGAGAGGTCTCACTCCTGCTGCTGATGGAGTATGGTCTCTTGTCCATACTAACCTTCCAAACCGTGTGTAAGCGTCACTATGGCTGGTGCAAACCAGTGTTATGCCGACTGTGCTAACATTTACTGTGCAGAAAAAGCAGGACAATAATTTGGTGCTCCAGCACTGTTTAGTTAATTGGTGCTCTAGGATTGTTTAGTTAATTAGGGATCTAGCACTGTTTAGTTTACTAGTGTATAGCCTTTTTGTCCTTGTACTCAGAGCATCAGAATTAAATATTTTGATGACAGCAGCATTTTCTGGGTGAGTAGATCATTTTAGGAGTGATGGGAAGGATAAGGAAGGTTGTGAGGGATAGGATGGGTGGTGGGGAAAGATTCCAGGGCCGTACAAGCAACAAGGAGATTTGGGAGGATTTGATGAGATCCATTGGGATCTCTGAGCACAAAGATCAGGCTATATTCATCTTTCAGGGAGGTCCTAAAGCACAAACTGACTCCCAGACATTGGGGTGGTTTACTGTGCATGTTTATTGTGTAGCTTTATGGTTGCTCTGTTCTTACATGCTTTTCCTAAGCATCTGCTGTCACCCATTGCCTCTAGGATTTTGGCTAGATGGATCTTTGGCATGACACAGTTCAGCCGTACATATATCTTTATGTATTGATGATGTTTCTAGAAACAAAAGCCTCAGATTTATTTTTGCAGTGCAAATGCCAAGGTTTCCTTTCTTCTTTATAGCAGCAATTCAATGTACATCTCTATGCAGGACAGTATTAAGCACATTGTTAACTTAACTATGTGCTAATGTAAAGCACATGCTCCTCTTCTCAAAAGAGATGGTTTTAAACATATTAAGCAGGACAGGAGAAGACTCCTTCCAATGCACACAGAGTATTTAATTTTTTATCGTTTTTTTAATCTGTATTCCTTCTCTTCCGTAACTGAGTTTGAGTTGATCAACACACTAATAAACCCATAAATATTCGTAATTTATCATCATTTCGCAACAAGTTAGGACAACATGAGAGGAAACCCTTTTATTACTTAAGTAAAAATCTATGGCTACATTATCCTGAAGACTGAGAAAACCCTTGATTTAATGTAAAGTTCTTTATAAATATACTACAGTGGCCTTAACCAACAATAAATGAGGATAAAGGGACAAATGACTTCACTTTTTCCTCCTCTTTTTATTGCTATGGAATGAAGTCATTATTTCAGTATGGGTACAGTTGAGCTGTGAAAACAGATGCATGATACGAAGTGGCTAATTTGTCAGACTACCGTTTATTTCTGTATCCAGAAGCATATCTCCGAAGGTTCATCTAAAAAGAAATTCTTGACTCAAAAGAAATTCTTAGCAAGAAGGAAACATAAAATCAATAATTGAGAAAACTTCACATTTCAATGCTGGAAATCATAAAATGACATGAGGTAATGTCTGCACATTCAATTTAAGGCTAAAAATGCTTATTAAATTCAAGGTCAGTCTCACAAAATACACCCACTTAGCCCATATTTACTGACATTTCATATGATGATGTTTGATGGAAAGGGCAAGTGACTGAGTAACACTAGTTACTATACACTCTGATGTACACCTACGTGAAAAAATGCTACCTAGTAAATTTACTAGGCAGCTGAGGTGCCGGCAAGTTATAATGCACACATAAACTCTACTCTGAAAGTGACTTGTAAAGAAGTTGGATATACAGACTGTTGAGGGTACGTGGAATGTGAGAGAATCTGCTTCATTAAGGTTATAAGATCGAGGACCTTTTCAGTTCAGAGGGGATAATGAGTAAAAGGGAACAGGATAAACAAACCACAAACCTGGTAGACAAGGGATAACTACGACAATGGCAAAGACCAAAAGTCTCCAGACAGTAACTGATGGGCCATTAAGGAACTACAGGCTGAGCTCTGGAGAGAGCTAACCTGGATGGGGCAACTGATAAGAAGGGGAAAAGATGAACTTGAGGATTTGGGGTATTCCAGGGGGCTGTGCAGGACGAGCAAGCTGCGCTAGCTGGCAAGAAGGTGATCATACAGCAGGTACGGGGGCCCAGGGTGCGCCAGACTGGGCTCCTGCCGCTGGGCAGGAGAGACCTTGGGTGCTGCAGGCTGCTGGAGATGGCAGGTCTTACAATGTCCTTAACACAGACTACTGCATACAACAGTCTGACTGGTTTTATTTAAAACCTTTCTGCACCATCCGGGCAGGTAAAGGATGTTTAAAATTGATAAATCCAATTTACTGCCACTTTAGGGTTCTTTCAGTCTGAGCAAATAATATAAGTGGCTGCAAGAGAGAGGATCTGATATTCACTGTCTTTTAAATTGAATCACCTTTATACTAGAGGTATGATAAATGCCATGTCCCCTGTTGGCGAACCTAAAGCTCTCCCTTGCTGAACACACAGACTTTAGTGTTCATGTCTGAGTCATTTTATTCTTCTCTTAAACAGTTGTCTTTCCATGTGATTCTTCTAAAAAATTGAAAACTTTAATTTTATGCTAATTAGAAAGTCTAAAATACATATTTACTCAACATTTTTTTATTTCTAGTGTTTACTGATGTCTCTCATAGCTAAACATTTTGCATTAAGATCTTATTTTCAGGGTTCGATTGCTGCTTGTGCCTTTTCTAAAATCTTTGTGAATCTTTGGCTAACTTGGAGAGAGCATCAAAACTATAGTTAAAAAAAAAGACAGCTAATAAGAAGTTAAAAACTATTTTTTTCATTATGTAATTCAAAGTTTTGTGACTGAGTTACATCATGACAAAGTTCTATTGCCTCCACATATCTCATCCTTTAGGTAACGAAAAAGGAAGTTTGAAACCTTCAAGGGATGCAGAAAGAATTAATCTGAGATTAAAACAGCACTTCGGACCAAATATCACAACAGATTTAGAGTGAAAATAGGATATCCTAGAAAACATTAAGATAACGGACATGTGACCCGTGGTACAATTTTTTTTTCTATATCTGGACATTTTACTTGGATTCATGTGTACGTTGTGTTAGGAATCCCCCCAAAAAAGAGGGATTCAAGGACAAATTTTTGCTAGGTAATAAGGCTTTATGCACCTTGGATCCTGGTCCCGTTTGCAGGTAACGTGCTGAACACTTGGTGGGCTCACCCTCCCCAGGGCAGGGAAAGGAGGGCTAACGCGCTCGCAGCCATCACAGCCCCGGGAAAGGAGCCGGTCACGTCGCTGCGCTTGTGAGAGCCCAGATGCTGACGCGGCTCCCGGGGACTGCAGGGAACTCCATCGGTATATGTCGTATTTGGAGAGTAAACCAGTACATAAGGATCAATGAACTGAGGGATGAGTAA